ATCCCCAAAGCACAGCTCAGCCCCCCAAAGCACAGCTCAGCCCCCAAAGCACAGCTCTGTCCCCAAAGCACAGATCTGTCCCCAAAGCACAGCTCTGCCCCCAAAGCACAGCTCAGCCCCCAAAGCACAGCTCTGCCCCCCCAGAGCACAGCTCTGCCCCCCAAAGCACAGCTCTGCCCCCCAAAGCACAGCTCAGCCCCTAAAGCACAGCTCTGTCCCCCAAAGCACAGCTCTGTCCCCCAAAGCACAGCTCAGCCCCTAAAGCACAGCTCTGTCCCCAAAGCACAGCTCTGCCCCCCCAAAGCACAGCTCTGTCCCCAAAGCACAGCTCTGTCCCCCAAAGCACAGCTCAGCCCCTAAAGCACAGCTCTGCCCCCCCAAAGCACAGCTCTGCCCCCCCAAAGCACAGCTCTGCCCCCCAAAGCACAGCTCTGCCCCCCCAAAGCACAGCTCTGCCCCTAAAGCACAGCTCTGCCCCCCACCAAAGCACAGCTCTGCCCCCCAGAGCACAGCTCTGTCCCCAAAGCACAGCTCTGCCCCCCCAAAGCACAGCTCAGCCCCCCCAAAGCACAGCTCAGCTCCCCCCAAAGCACAGCTCAGCCCCCAAAGCACAGCTCTGCCCCCCCAAAGCACAGCTCAGCCCCTAAAGCACAGCTCTGTCCCCCAAAGCACAGCTCAGCCCCTAAAGCACAGCTCAGCCCCCAAAGCACAGCTCTGTCCCCAAAGCACAGCTCTGCCCCTCAGTCTGTGTGCCAAAGGCTGCAGTGGGTGGGTATGGGCAGTGGGGGACCTGCGTGGGCCCAGCTGTGCCTCTGTGACTCCTCCCGGGAGGAGGAGGATGGTGGGAGGAGGAAGCAGGGCTGAAGCAGGGCTCAACCGGGGACAAACCCCAGCAGCACTAGCACCTGCTAATTATGGCAGTGGCAGTGCCACCACAGGCAGGACTGTGGCTGCTCCCAGGGCACAGCCCAAAGCCTGGCACCTCCTCTGTCCCCTCCCAGGGCACAGCCACCTCCTGTGCCCAGAAAGGCTCCTTGGGGAGCCTCCACTGATCCGTGCTGGGTGTCACAGAGCCCTGATGTCACACGGGTCACACCCTGGGGCAGCTGCCAGGTGACCCTGGGTGCCAGCTCGGGATTCCCTTGTGGGGTTTCCTGAGCTGCCTGGGGCAGGAATCCCAGTGAGGAGGTGACAGAGACCAGCAGCACAGAGCTGGGGTTGTGCCCTCCCGTGGCACCTGGCAGGGGGTGGCAGGGGTTACCCGTGGGGTGTTTGCACCCACTGCTCTCCTCCCCACAGAGCAGCCACCATCTCCTTCCCCACCCTGCTCAATTCCTTCAAGGGAGACTGCCAGGAGCCAGCCCCAGCACCCCCAGCAGGGTCCCACCTTCCCGTGCCACCAAAGGTGGTGGCAGGAGCCACCCTAAGTGGACAATCCCACACTGGAGGGGGAGCTCCAGCAGAGTTGGAGAGGGCTGGGCCCCTCTCCCCAGGTTCCCTGTCCTCCCTGGGCCTTAGCTGCTGTTGGGGTCATTCTTGTGGTGGCACAGCCATGGCCATGTCCCTGTGGTGGCAGAGCCGTGGCCATGTCTGGCACAGGGATGTCCCCATGATGGCCATGTCCCAGTGGTGGCCATGTCCCCGTGGTGGCAGAGCCATGGCCATGTCTGGCACAGGGATGTCCCTGTGGTGGCCATGTCCCCATGGTGGCAGAGCTGTGGCCCTGTCTGGCACAGGAATGTCCCACAGACTGGGGGATTTCCCTCACAGAGCAAAAGACAAAGAAGGACAGGGCACTTGGCCATGTTCCTCTTGGCCTCCTTCCATTTTCTGCTTTTGATGTTGTTCTCCCTTTTACAGCTCCTTGCTCAAGCCCCAGTGAGTGTGGGGGGTTCATCCAGCAGGAGCAGCCAGGGAGGGAGAGCAGCACACACAGCCCTGGGCAGCGCTCCCGACGGGGCTGTGCCCCCCAGGGCAGACAGGGCCCAGACAGACCCCTCTGGTGGCCATCTCAGTGACATCCCTCCCTTCTCCAAAGGTGCCCGAGGGCCTTCAGACACCCCGGAGAGTGGCCCCGTGTGCAGGAGGTGACAAGGCTGGATAGGACACACAAGGACCTGAATTGCTGCCTGCCCCCACTGCCACCTGCACTCTGCCCTTCCAGGGGAGGGATTTGGGGTCAGGAAAACCCTGTCAGTGCCACCCCTGCCCGCTGCCCTCTGCTGCCTGGGGTTGGTGGCAGTGATGGATCTGATGGCACCAGTGCATCCAGAGGCTGAGCAGAGCCTGCTCCCCTCAGGAAGGAGAACTTGGGGGAAGCCATCATTGCTCTGTGCCACCCCAGCTCCCCCTGTGCCACTGCCTTTGAGCAGCCCCAAGGCCACCCTGGGAGCACAGTGGGACCCAGGGCCACTGCCAGCCCCAGAGCTGGCACTGCACCCACCGGAGCTTGGCTGGCCAGCAGGAGATCAGCTTCCTTCCAGCTCTGCCTGCATTTGGTGACCTCTAACAGGGACCTTGCACCCTGCCTGGCAAACCCCACTCCTTGCTGCTGCCCAGGATGCCTGGCACAGTCCCCTGGCCCTGCTGGGGAGCTGGCAATGTCCCCTGGGCCTGCCCCTGTGCAGCTGTGCCCAGAGGGAGCCCAGGTGAGGACCAGGCCGTGGCACAGCAGGATCACCCCGTGCAGGAGGGACTGTGGGCACAGGGGTGTGATGGAGCCCCAGGAATGTCCCTGTGGGAGCAGCCGCCACCCAGCCCCAGTCCCACAGCTGGCAGCCTGGCCCCAGCCTGGCACCAACATTTCCAGGAATTTTGGGGCACTGCTGCCCACACAGCAGCTCTCCAGGAGCCAGCTTGGCACTAAAGGCCACTGCCAGGACAAGGAGCCAAGAATTTTCTTAAAGCAGGTTCTGCCCAGCAAGGCCACGTGAATGCCCCTCAGGAAACAATCCACTCACCGAGATACAGCCAAGATTTCAGCCCAGGCAATTCCTGCCGTGTCTTCTCCTTGCCAAACCCCTCAGCTCTGGGGAGAGGGGGCTCTCCCAGCCACTGCCTGACACATCTGGCAGCACCACTTGCAAACCTGCAGGAACTTGGCTTGTTGGGGAATTTTAGTGAATTTTACCTGATTTGAACCTCAGCCCAAAGCAGCAGCAGCACTCAGGCCCTGCAGAGATCCTGCTTTGCCCTTTCCTGGGTCTCACCCCGTGCTCCTGCCTCCAGCTGGGACAATCCCTCCTGGCCCAGCAGAGCCTCACGTGGGCAGCTTCACTGGACAAAAAAACTACAGAAAATTCCAAGTTTAGAATTCAAAGGGGCTGGGCATGTGCAGGGCAGGAATAGGGATGTGGGAAAGGAGCAGGGATATAGGAACAGGCTCCAAGAGGCCTGGGAAGAGAGCTGCTGCACAAAGAAAACAGAGGAGGCAAAAAGGCAAAGACAGAAAGTTTGTTTGAAAAGATGCAAAAGTATTTAAAACCAGAGAATCGCCTGGTTATGGCTAAAATCACCTTTTGGCTGTTCTTAAGGGAGCCTGAACACCCCTGAGGCAGCACTGGGGGGATGTCCAACACCCACTGCCAATTCCCAAGGGAATCCAGGGGCTCCAGGAGCTGCTGGCACAGCAGGGCAGCTGGCCCTTTGCAGCTGGCCTTTATGAGCCCCAAAGACCTTTATTAGCCCCAGAGCATGAGAGTCCTTTAGGCCACAAAGGTAACGGGGTATGGGAGGAAGCACCGAGCCCTGCAGCCTTCGGGAGCTGGGGGCTGAGGCTGATGAAGGTTTAAGCTGCTTTCAGCATCAGTTTTCAGGGTGACAGATGGAGGGAAGGGGGAAAGAAACCCCACCCCGTTCTCTGCCCGAGCCTTTGGAGGCACCATGCTGGAGTCCCAGGGAAGCTTTTCAATCTGATCCCATTGTCAGCCTCCTGCTTGTCACATCCTCGACACAAGAGCCCCTTCAGGTGCCCCCCTGGGAAAAAGTCCAGCACAGAGCAGGATCCTCAGCCAGAAGCCAGCTGTGACTGGCCCCAGCACGGATGGAGTGAGGGGAGCACACAGCTCTGATGCTCAGGGGGCTGCAGCCCTGACGGTGGAACCTCAAATGGTTTGGGTTCAAGGGCCCTCAAAGCCCACGCAGTGCCCACCTGCCATGGCAGGGACACCTCCCACTGTCCCAGGCTGCTCCCACCTGGCCTTGGGCACTGCCAGGGATCCAGAGGCAGCCACAGCTGCTCTGGGAGTTTATCCTGGAAGCAACAAGCAAAGACACAGAAAGCACCCAACACCAGCCTGGGGTTCTGCCACCATGAGCAAGCAGCTCATCCATGTCCTGCTGCAAGGAGAGGTGCAGGCAGTAACTTGGGGTTTTAGGACTTTTTCCCTGTTCCCACGGCAATCTCTCAGTTTTGAGTTTTGATCCTGTTTAGATCCCTCTCACACAGAACAAGGTGGGCTGGGACAGGGACAGGGGGGTCTCCTCTGCACCCCTCTGGGGTTTCAGCCATTCCCAAATCCCTGCACTGCTGGGACTCAGCCACACCAGCCACCCCACACCCTGAGCACCAGGAGGGTGGGACAAGGAGCAGTGAGGGGAAGTGCAGCTGTGAACCAGGACTGCTGCCAGGGTTGTGCTGCAGCTGAGTGACCTTGGAAAGGAGCAGCCTGACCCAGGCCAGTGTCCATCTGCTCTTTCTGGACAGGAGGAGGAGTTAAACATTCCCATGGAGCAACAGCTGGATGGCAGAGGGGGACTGAGAGATCCTGCCCAGCCCTTGTGGTGCTGAGCTGGTGCTTCACCCCTGGGCTGGACCAAAGGGCAGTTTGGGGCACTCAGTGACCTTTCCTGACTCTCCAGCACCCCACATCCCCTTCCCAGAGTTCAGCCCTTCCCAAGGCCATGGGAGAAAATTGTAACCATCACCTCTTATTTAACATTTCATCATCTCCCCATTCAAGAGATTCAGCTCTGAGGGAAAACAGCAAATTCCAATATTTTTTTTAAACAAGAAAGAAGTCCAAGTTTAATCCTCTTGGGAGCAAAAGGATTAACAGCAGGTTTTAAGAAATAGGTTTCAAAAAAAAAAGCAAGTTAAAATTCCACACAAGGCACCCCCATTTCAGTATTTTTTGACATGGATACAGAGTGAACCAGGAAGTTCCCAGGCACGTGGAGCTTCCCAGGAGCAGCAGTTTTCACCTGGAAGTTGGTGTGAGGAAGATGGCTTTAGGAGCTGGGGCTGAAGTGACCCCAAAACCAGCAGCAAAGCAGTTTGGGACTGCAGAACTCCCTCATCTGCAGGGGTCCAACGCAGCTGAGGAAGTTCTGCTTCCCCCACGCATAAATTCCACCTCCTGCCTTTCCTGGCAGATGGAGAGGTGGCCACAGCCACTCCCAGGGAAGAGGTGTCAGAGTCAGAGCAGCTTCTGGGATCCCTCACAGCCAGGATCTGCTCTGGCACCGTTGCAGGATAAGAACAACAACTCACAGGCTCAGAGGCAGCAGCGGCACCACTGAGAATCCTGGGATCCCCCAACTGAGAATCCTGGGATCCCCCAACTGCTGGAGCCCCTCAGCTCCCAAAACCTCTCCCTCCACCAAAACACCAACTCCTCCAGAACCACCACAGCCAGCCCATGAAATGAAACACCCTGGAGTGAACGAGGTGAACGTGATGTTTATGAACAATAAGCAGTTTCCCTCAGATGGGCTCCCAGGGCTTCCTGCAGCACTGGCCCAGGTGGGAATCCTGAGCCATCGTGGGATATTTCCCATTTTCCTTCCCACAATGCTACACAGAACCAAAACTGCATTGAGAAAAACAACGACCCCCCAGACCCCCAGCAGGTCGCCCTGGAGCAGAAACAAGGTTTAAGTACAATCCAGATGATCCAACCGCAGCGGTATTGGCTTCATTTGACTGTATTTAAATAAAATTAAGCATTTAAAAAATTAACAGGCACTACAATTCCCTGGCAGTGCTGACACCGAGCCCAGCCCCACGAGGCTGTCCCCACCCTCCCTGGGTGATCTGGGGGTGTCACACAACACAAGAAGCCACAACATTTTCATGAAGCAACGTAACCAAAAGAATCCCAAGGCAGCTCCCAGCCGGAATCCGGCTCGCGGGGCCGAGGTCCAGGTGATCCCAGGGAGGAGACAGCCCAGGGGGGTGGGAGCACAGGAACACGTGGCTGTCCCACTGCAGCCCCCAGGCTGGGCAGTCCTTGCAGGTCCCTGCAGCCCTCAGAGCTTCTTGAGCCGACTGTACATCTCCCTCTTGCTCTTCTCCCCGGCCCAGGTCCGGCTCTTGGTGCGGAACCTCTTCAGGTCCTCCTTGAAGTCCTTGTGGTGCATCGGGCGGTAGCTCTGGGGCTCGCAGAAGCTCTGGGGAACCAAACAGGAGCTGGGGTCACCTCAGTGCCACCAGGGTGCTGATCCCAGCACCAGCAGCCACTGGAGCAAACAGGGACAGACCCCCCCCCCCCCTTTCAGGCAGGAGCTCCGTGGCAGACACACAGAGCCCAGGGAGATTCAGGTTACAGCCACCAAAACAAGGGCTTTGTGTACAGGGCTCTCATCCCAAATTTCCTGGCAGAGAACACACAGGCTGAGCCGATTGAGAGTTCACCTTGCAAGGCACAGACTGGGAGGATGTTCCAGCTCAGATGGTCAGAGCAGGGTGGCTGATCACGGCAAGGTCGTGGGTTTAGGGAACAAAGATCACTGCGGGTCCCCTCCAGCCCCGAGCATTCCATGATCCGCGTGCCTCGGGCCAGCTCCCGGCTCCCAGGGAGCTGCCCTTGCCTGTCCCGTGCTGCCACCTTGAGGCCTCGGTGCCCTCTCCTCAGGACAGCCCGAAGTCCACGGGGACACCCCAAAACCCAGGTGTCCCTCAGCCCAGGGGAGGGAGCAGATCACAGGGAGAGCCAAAACCCGGGCAGCACTGGCTGCCATCAACTGCAGGGCTGGGAGAGCCAACATCCCACAGGAGAGGAGCTGACAGCCCCATCCAGCTGGCCTTGAACAGGCCAGGGATCTCCCACCTCCCAGGGATGACTGGAAGTGTGGGGGCCTCAGGAGCTGAGGCCTGTTTGTGTCACAGCAGCAGGACAGATCCCAGGAGCACTGGGACCATGGAAATGCTGCAGGAGCAGGAGCCAAGGACAGGAGAAATCCCAGCCCTCAAGTGCTGGGAAGAGCTGGGGGCAGGTTTTAGTTTCCTTGTCTCAATTAGAGGCTGCAAACTCCAAGCTCAGCTTTTCAATTTTGCTGGTTTAGGACTGTACAAGATCTCAGGTTTCCATTTATTATCCAGCAATTACTGTCAAGCCTTGTGTCTGAGCAGGCTGAAATCCTTTCTCTGAGTGACAGTTTGTTCTAAAGGGGCAGAAACCTCTCCTATTTTACTTGAGACAAGTGGAAAAGCCCTTCAGCTATGGCAGGAAGACAGCTCCAAGACATGGAACAGGCTGAGCTGCTCTGAGACCAGCCCAATGAAAAAGAGAGAGAGGAGGAAAAGCCCCTCAGCCAAACCACTCTGCCCCAAGGAGAAGTTTGAGTAGGAAGAAATTAACATTATTTGAGTGTGATAGAGACCACAGAAAGGTTGGGTTGGAGGAACCTAAAAGGTCTTGTTCCACACTCTGCCATGGGCAGGGACACCTTCCACTACCCCAGGCTGCTCCAAGCCCCTTCCTACCTGGCCTTGGACACTAGCAGGGACGAGAAAGCCACGTTACTCACCTGGCACCTCGAGAAGAAATCCTTGTAGCCTCCCTTGAGCACGTAGAGCTCTGGGTAGTGCAGGTTGGGGTACTCATTGCTCAGCCTGTCCTGCTCCCTCACAAACCGGCACCTGCAGCGGGGAAAATCCCATGTTAAATCCCACACTGACCCAGTAACTCCCAAATCTGCACCCCAAACCTCCCATCCCTCAAAGGAGGAGCTGGAGCTGCCTGTCAGGGAGAGCCTGAGCAGCCCCACAGCTCAGAGGTTTTTCCTTTCCCCTCTGAACACTGCAGTGCTCCAGCCCAGGCCCAGCACGGCTCCTCACCCCTGCCAGAGGTGCCAACCACCCCGTGCACAGCAAGTGGAGGCAGCCCAGCCCCTCCCAGTGCTCTGAGTGCAGTGGGAAGCCTGCCCCAGGGAGAGGAGCTCACATGCGCGGGCCCCGCTCCGAGGAGAACTCGCAGTGGAACACCACGATGACGCGCTTGTCCTCCGACGGCTGGATGGGCTTCTTCAGCAGGAAATTCTGCACCTCCTCCTCCATGTGCAGGTTTATGGCACCCTGCAGGGCACAGTGCAAGCACTGAGTGCAGGGGAACAGCCACAAACTCACCCCGCTCCCTTGGGAACCAATGCCTCATCTGGGTCTGCTGGAGGAGCTCTGCAACCCTCTCCCAGCACAGCTCCAATCCCCACCAGGACACCACAGACAGCCTGGAACCCTCTCCCAGCACAGCTCCAAACCCCACCAGGGCACCACAGACAGCCTGGAACCCTCTCCCAGCACAGCTCCAATCCCCACCAGGACACCATGCACAGCCTGGAACCCTCTCCCAGCACAGCTCCAAACCCCACCAGGACACCACAGACAGCCTGGAACCCTCTCCCAGCACAGCTCCAAACCCCACCAGGGCACCATGCACAGCCTGGAACCCTCTCCCAGCACAGCTCCAAACCCCACCAGGGCACCATGCACAGCCTGGAACCCTCTCCCAGCACAGCTCCAATCCCCACCAGGACACCACAGACAGCCTGGAACCCTCTCCCAGCACAGCTCCAAACCCCACCAGGGCACCATGCACAGCCTGGAACCCTCTCCCAGCACAGCTCCAAACCCCACCAGGGCACCATGCACAGCCTGGAACCCTCTCCCAGCACAGCTCCAAACCCCACCAGGGCACCATGCACAGCCTGGAACCCTCTCCCAGCACAGCTCCAATCCCCACCAGGACACCACAGACAGCCTGGAACCCTCTCCCAGCACAGCTCCAAACCCCACCAGGGCACCATGGACAGTCTGGAACTTGCTCTGTGTGATTCCTCAGCCAGGAATTCCTTCCCAATCTCCCATCCATCCCTGCCCTCTGGCACTGGGAGCCATTCCCTGGGTCCTGTCCCTCCATGCCTTGTCCCCAGTCCCTCTCCAGCTCTGCTGGAGCCCCTCCAGGCACTGAAAGGGGCTCAAACACCACAAGGTCTGGGTGACCTGTTCCTGGTTATGTTTTACACAGCCATTTTTCCTTTGAAGTCTGTCACTGAAATGAAGTTTAGCACTCCAATTTTAGCCTCCTGAGATATGAGGATGCTGGACACTGAGTGTCACATCCTCCTCAGGAACCTCTGTCACCCTGAGGGCCACAGGCCCCTCCTCTGCTTACAGAGAGCAGAACATCCCCTCTTCTGAGGGAACAGCCACTTCATGGCCCACGTGTGGGCTCAGGGTCCAAACCCAGGCAGTGGGTGAGCATGACAGGATCCCAGAGGGGCCCCTCAGGAATAACATTTCCACAGGGCCTTGGATAAAAATCAGCCCCACAGGGATCCCAGAGACCCCAGGCTGCAGCTTCAGAGCACCTGCCCTGCTCTTATGGGGCCAACATACCTTGATGTGCCCCCCTTCATACTCATAGGGGTATCTACAGTCAATTATCACACACTGCTTGATGAAGCTCTCAAACTTCCCAGTCAGCACAGACACAATCTGAGAAAAAAAGAGCACAAAACCCAGAGTTCAGCTGTTTCAAGCCATTTCTGTGTTGTTCCCCAGCCCCCACTAAAGAATTTTTCTGGCTCCCTTGGAGCACTCACCATTTCAGAGTCGATGTATTTTAAATCTTGATGTTTCCCATCAACAGTGTCAAATAAATAACTCTGGAAGGATTGAGAAAATTCCAGCTGTGAATCACATGGGTGACAGCATCCAGCAGTTCACTCTCTGACAGACACTCTGCTGGCTAGAACCTCTGCAGGAGTTAAAGCTCCTAAGAATGCTAAAATCAGGCACAGAATTTCGGTTTTGGCTCCCACACTAGAGGATTTTATAGGGCTTTAACCACAAATGGATCAGTTTGTGTCCAACCTGGGCCATCCCCTTCTCACCAACAGCCTCTCCTGGTTGTTTGAAGACCAAAGAATTGTTAAGATTAGAAAAGACCTCCAAGATCAAGTCCAAAGAAGCAAGGCAGGTTTATGAGGGAACAGAAGAGCCTCTCTAAAGGGAAGTGTTTTTCTGGGCTGGTTTGAGACATCCCCACCAAGAGAGGCCCTTAAAACACTTCATTCAACATCTGGCCACGGAATCTCTGGAATTACCTTGGAGAAGTCCCCGATAAGGTCCCTCTGGTCACTGTCCAAAATGCTCTCAATCTCTGCTGTCGAGGGCTGGGTCCTCACCAGCTTCAGGCTCTGCAGGACACAGGTCAGAGATCCATGAGGGCAGACATGTCCCATTCCCTGTTTCCCACAGTAGACAGCTTGGAGTGCACTGCCAAGCCCTGAACTGCCCCCTCAGCCTCCCTGCTCAGGGCAGAGCTCGGGTTCAGCACTGTGGAATTGCTGCCCCAACAATCCACCAGGAAAAGCTCCCAGCAACCTTCACAAACCAGACCCCAGCTCTGCATGTCCCCTCATCAATTCTGTGTCACAAACTGGATGCTGAGCCACCAACCATGGAGTCCTCAGAAGTTCCTGGCAGGCTTTTCCTCTTCTTGCTTTTCCCTGGAGAATTCTCCTCCTGGGATCTCTCCATCCTTTTCTGGGTGGTTCTTCCTGCAATGCTTGACATGGATGAAGAGCCAAACAGCCGGCACCGCTTGGCCTACGAGGGAGGAGTTGAGTTGTCCAGCAAAGGTTTATAAAAGAAAATAAACACAGCTCAGGCTTTCAGATTATTCCAATATTGGCCTCATTTAAGGCACCATCACTGCAGAGCATCAGGGGGCTGTTAATCTGAATTATCCAGGCTTTGCATTTCCAGTAACACTTGTTACTGGGGGAGCTTGGGGCAGCATAAGCAAGATAAAGAGCCAGCAAAATGCTCTACATCAATTAGCAGCCAATTTATCAGCAGATTAAAGAGCTTTCTGCTGGAGCTGCTTTTCCAGTCTGTTATCAAAGCATCAGGTTACAGCATTGCAGGTGAGTCCCTGCAGAGTGAATTCCACATATGCCAAGATTCTGATAAGGGAAGTCAAGATCTTCTCACATTTATGAAGTGCAAGAAGAAATTCTATTCCTATAAACATCACTTGTTCCACAGCGACAGAGTCTGCCAGGTGAACGGCCCCAGAGATAAGGGAATTGTGCAGGGGTTATGCCAGGGCTTGTTCTGCTCCCAGGGATGCAGGGGACAGTGGGGTGACACAGTCCCTGTCCCCTGTGGGACACTCACCCGGCTGTCCGCTCTCCTCATGACCAGCGGCGCCGTCCAGAGACTGGACACGTCCGAGGGCATCTCCTCATGGTTCTGCAAGAGAGGGAATCCTGCTCATCCCTCCCCACAGACACACTGCAGCTACAGCTCCTGCCTGCCTCAGGTGCACATCCCAGCTGGAACCAGCTCCCAGAGCAGCTGCAGGGATTTAACTCCATCACCAGTGCAATTCTTCAGGAAATAATGGAACTGAGCGGAAACATGTTGGACAAGGTGAGTTTATCAATTCACTGATTGATTAACAAAGATGAGCCTCCAGGGCTTTAAGCATTTCAAACTCCCTTGAAAACAGTTTTGTATCTAAGTGGCTCAAAGCAATACCACCTCTGACTTTTTCAGCAAGTTTCTAAAGAAAAATGCCAACTGTTCCCTCAGTCCTCAAACTAAAAATAATTCACTTGTTCAGACCCCAAACAAATCCCACTGGCTGCACTAGGAAAGAGCAGTTATAAGATAAAGGCACCCCAGTGTGAGTTAGAAAAGATAATGAAAACTAATTAATCTCCTTGTGGGAGATGTCCCTGCCCATGGCAGGGGATTGGAACTGGATAAGCTTTAAGGTCCCTTCCAACCCAGAGCAGTCTGGGCTTCTGTGACTGCCAAAAACCCAGCGTGGTGCACTCTGAGCACCATGACTGCAGCCACAGCACAGCAGACACATCTGGCAGAGCTGATCTGGGGATCTCCACCCCATCCCCTCTGCACACACCTTCAAGTCCTGGTCATCCAGCAGCTCCATGAAGCCATCATCATCCTCACTCTCCGAGGAGGGCAGGGAATGCTGCTGCAGGAAGGCTGCCCTGGAGTTCTGTTCCCCAGAGGCTGTTTCCCCCATGGGCAGCTGAGGGGAGACAGAGAGAGTTTTAACAGCATTCCCTCTGCTCCCTGCAGGATGCTGCAGCCAAGGAGGGGCTGCCAGGGCTCTCTGCACTCCAGGGAACACCGTGGTTATCCCCAGCCCTGAGCTGCAGCACAGGCAGGGATCAGCAGGATTCTGGAAGGGCTGCTGGATCCAGGGAGCTGAGACAAGGCTTGGCCCCCCAGCTCTGTTTCTGTACAATCATTTTTCAGTTGCCTTTTCTAAACAACAGGGTATGAATAAGGTAATTTTTCTTCCTGGATGTCACATCTGGACACCAAATCCAGCTGCATTGACAGAGTTTGGTTTGTTGTTCCAAATGCATCTGCCTGAACATTCAGTACCAACTTTACTGATCATTTCCATCCAAATCAATGTCCACACTCCCTCCACTTACTGAGCAGAACCCCAGCTCTGTCCTGACTCATCTTTCCCAGAACAAGGTTTCAAATTTCTCATGAGCCAAAGGTGAGAAGAATTCTCTTATCTGGCAGATAAATAAGTTTTTCTATCTGGAACCTGACTGACATCACCACTTCAGAACCCTGATTTGGTTATTTTGATGGCAGAGAATTAGGTGAGAATTAATAGAGAAGAACCAAGTACCTGGGCTGGAGATGAGTTTTGCCTTGCTGCAGGAACACCCCTCCCATCACGGAAGCCACGAGAAGCTGGTTTGGTTGGCTTCTTGAACTCAAATGATTCCTGAAATAAAAAACAGCAAAATTACCATTTTACCAAAAATACAAACTGTGTTAAGCTGCTTGGATCCTTTTATCTTTTCCAATTTCTTAAAGTGCCTGACATTTTGGATTTAAGCTCCCTGCTGCCAACAGAATAGGCTGAAGGTGAATGTTTTCAAATTAAAGATGTTACAGCAGTGTTTCATCTAACATAATCCAGCATTTATGCTCTTGGCATCACCTACAGGCTTCAGGGCTTCCCTATTCCTGGTCAGTCAATTCTCTGCAGAATAAATCAATCATTCTTGGAGGCAGCCAAGCACTGACACTTCATCCCCCACAGGATTCCCAGCAGCCAGGGCAGACCCAGGACACAGAATCCAAGAGGAACCACAGGGATCCCCATGGCAGCAGTGGGGACAGCCAGGGGTGACCTCCCCAAACCCCTTCTGGAGGCAGCTCCTGCCCAGAGCAAGTAGGGGGAACAGATCTTCCTCTGCCACAGCCAGAAAGGAGTCAGGGTCAGTGGCACCAAGGCAGAACCAGGCAAAGTCTTCCCCATTTTTATTAACCAACAGCTCTAATCAGAGCTGCAAGTTCCCTTCAGAAAAAATGAGCTAAAGGTGGTTGTGCTTGAAGAACAGCCTGGCAGGGAGGAATTGAAGCCTTTCCCATGACGTTCCCTGTGCAGGGATGTGCTAATCCAGCTGTCCCTCCCCTCCCACAGGCATCAGGAAAGAGCACTCACATTTTCCTTATTTTCATCCTGATCCAAAGGCTGGAAAGCATCAGTGTCCAGAGAGTCAGAGTGGTTTCTCTTCAGAGCAGGGCTGGAGCCCAGCAGACTTTGCTGCAACACAGAAGGGACAGTTCAGGACTGCATCAGTGCTTGCACAAGCACATTTCAAGCACTAAAGGGGTTAACAAAGACTGGAAAGCCTCTGACTACAGATTTTGCACACCCTGTGAAGGAATCCTCTGCTGACATCTTGGTACAGGGACCAAAATGCTTCAGTGCAGCAGAGATGGAGCCACATCACAGAAATTTCACACTAAATTAAGTGAGATTGGGAATTTACAAACTGCAGTTCTGACATTAAGTACCCCAGCAGCTGGTGTTGAAGCCACAAAATTAACAAGTATTCAACTAAATGCATTCAACTAAAACCATGCTAAATCCTTTAACATGTATAAAACATCAATCCCACTCTCACTTACTGGCAGGGAATGGATTCTTCTGAAAGGTATTCGAAGGCTACAATGAAAGAGAACCAAAGTTTATTTCAACATTTTGCTTTAAAAGGCAGGGACATGAATAGAAATCACCCCCCAGTTCCATAATTTAAAAGAGACACCAAGGAAGAATTTAAAATAGAATTATACTTACTTCAGCCTGCTGGATTTGATTGCTTTCTCAAACCTAAAAGCAAAAGATCAAAGGTTGGACTTGAAGGTCTTAGAGGTCTTTCCCAAATTAAATGTTTCTGTGGTTCTAAAGGCACAGACTTAAACCAAACGTTAAAAGGTACAATTCAGACAGACCTTGGTGCAGCCCCAGGCTGCAGGTGGGTGCCAGTGCCATGTGGTTGGCACAACACCCAGCTCAGAGGCAGCACTGCAGTGCCCTGGGCAGGGGCAGGGCCAACCCCAGCATTCCAGCTCTGGAGCACAGGGAGAGGTGCAGCAGGGAGCCCCAGTGCACTGTGCCAGCAGAGGAAAGCCCTGCCCAGGCCCCATCAGCCCAGGTTTGTTTGTTAACCATGCCAGGTTTCACACAGGGGCACTCACGTGTCCTCCATGGCGTCGTGTGAGGTCCCAGGGCCAGGAGAATCCAAAGCCAAACCTGCACAGGAGACACAGATTTCCCACTGATCCATACCCAGGGAGTACCACAGAATTCCCACTGATCCATACCCAGGGAGTACCACAAATTTCCCACTGATCCATACCCAGGGAGTACCACAGAATTCCCACTGATCCATACCCAGGGAGTACCACAGAATTCCCACTGATCCATACCCAGGGAGTACCACAGAATTCCCACTGATCCATACCCAGGGAGTACCACACACTGCTACACACTTCCACAGAAAAACCCAGGAAATTCCTGTGCAAAGTCCCACCTGCAGCCTGATCTGGTGCAGAATAAAAAAGAGTTACAGGCACTCCCCACCGTGGGTTTGGCTGTGGATCATCAAGTGCCAGTGCTTGAGAATTTAAAGAAACCCCCCAAGCCCTGCATGGAATACTCTGTTTATCCACCACACACCTTAATAAACAATTCAGTCCTTTAAGGGTTTTTTTAAGCCATGTTTTTAGTTACACCTATGAAGAAATTTTGGGCTCATTCCCAAAAATAAGGAGTCAAAAGGCCCTTCTGAATGTCCTGGAATTAACAGGAAGCACTTCAGAAGCACAAAGCAAGCCCAGCTTTATAGCCCCAGAGCATTTCAGACACATCCAGAGTCACTCCAGCACAGATTCCTGAGGAGCCACAGAAAGTGAGGATTTAGCAAGGCTGGTTGCTCTGTCCTGCTCCATGGTCTGTGACTTGTACTCGTGCTTTAGCACTTCACAAAATTCTTTTTTAGGCTGAAAGTGCCCTCAAAATGGGGCATAAATCCAGGTGGAAACAGTGATTTCCCTCAGCTGGAGCAATGAACCACCAGAGGGAATCTACAGGTTATGGGGTGAGAGCTTATTTCATTTTCACTGATAAAACAACTCGTGTGAAAAACAGGAAATCCTCCCAGGAAGTAGCAGAACTGAGGGGTTTCAGATCATCAACCAGCTCTTGGTGACAGGAGAACACAGGACAGAGCCACTCACTGGCACAGTTTGGGTTTAAAGAGTGAAAACACAGTGAGGACTTGTTTTCCCTCCCTACTGCTCACAGTCTCCAGGACAATGAAAGCAAAAAAAAAAAAAAAAAAAAAAAAAAAAAAATATATATATATATATATATATATATATATATATATATATATATATATACACACCCACAGGCCAAACCCTGAGCTGCAGAGGTTTCCTGGGGCATTTTCCACCTGCCTCCCTCCTTCCAAGGGCCAGTTCTCTCTCCAAACCCCAGGTGCCATGTAGAAGTGCATTGCTTTCCAATTCCTAACCAATGTTTGTTAATAGAGGCAGCCCCACCTGAGTCTGTGGACTCTGAAGAGGCTGATCTGTGCAGTCCATTTTTGGTTCCCACGTCTTGATCACCCTGCCTGGAAAGGAAAGTTTGGGATTTGCTTTAAAAGCAAGAAACACAACACTGCAGGTAGGTACAGCACAGGTGGGCATCACTTGGATTCCTCCCAGAGCCCAGTTATCCTTCCTGGAACTGCAATCCTCTCTTTGGCAGCCACCTCTTTAATTCAGGTTTTGCATAGAGAAAATTGCCAAATTTCTAATTCAAACCCATTTTGATAAATAGTTACCTCCCAAATTTTGTTTTATCTGCTAAACCTCAGTGCTGTGAAGAAACTCATATGGAGCCCCACATATATAAGGGAAAAGCTACTTGAGTGAGGCTCCAGCAAGTGGTTAATTTAAAAAAAAAAAAAAAAAAAAGTAGCCAGGGCTACAAATTCAAAGGGCTGAATAATTTCCAAGGGGGGCACTGCCAATGGTCTGCAGGAATCCCAGGAATCTGAAGGAAGGAAGGACCATAAAGCAGGTGGTGGCAGAAATGAGAATGACAGAAAAATCAACAAATAAAACCCAGGAGGGTCATTGAGACCTGAGTGGGCCAGGACAAAACAGGAGTCACACAAGGGAGGAGCTGTGGGAATAATGGGATTAGAGGAGTTCAGAGAGCAGCAAAATGGAGCAGCTGTGGCTGCAGTTTGGGGAACGGGAGCAGCTGCAGAGCACACACTGCGGCACCTGGGACACGGAGCAGAGAGCAGGAACGGGGCTGGCATGGAACAGGGCAGGCAGGGGGACACGGAAGGGACACAAAGGGATTTGTGGGACAGAGGGAAGGGCTCAGGAGGGAGGAGGATGCCCAGAGCAGAAGCAGGGCAGGGGGAAGGTGTCCCAGAGCGGGGATCCATGCGGGATGGGGCAGGAGGAGAGAACAGAGGGAGGCACCCGCAAAGGGGTGGGGGACACTAAGGGACACATGGAGGTGTGCAGGGTGGGAGGGCTAAAACTGAGGCCCTGTGGGTGGGCGTAGGGAGAAGAAACAGCTCCGGGAGGCGCCGATTTTGGGGGAAGGGCTGGGAGAAGGGGTGCTACAGGCCTGGGCTGGAGCGTGGGGAGTGGAGCTGGAAGGAGAGCAGGCAGGATGAGCCCGCAGTGCCTCACTGCCGGGAGAAGAAGGGCACGAAGAGACCCCCGAGGCCTCCACTGGGGATGGGGGAAAGGAAAAGGAGGGATCCACGAGGCCTCGCTGGGTTTTTTGCGGGTGAGGACAGAGGAGATCCCTGAGGCCTTCCTTCGGGAATGAGGGGGACAGGGAAGGAAATGAGAGCTCTCCTGAGAGGCGGCAGGGCCGAGGAGGGAGCAGAGACATTCCGGAGGGCCTGGGGAAGGGTGTGTTAAACTGGGGCTTTGGGGCTTCAGAGGGGCATGAAGACATCCCAGGGGAGTTTGGGGTTGTTTTTTTTCTTTTGGAGGGACGGGCGGGAATTCCAAAAGGCTTCACTGCGCGGGAGGGAATTACGGGGGTGGATGGGACGGAAGGAAAACGACTCCAGGAGGCCTTGGGGGTTTTATATATGGGGGAGCCTCCCTAGGCCTCGCTTCGGGTCCGGGAGGGGGAAGAAAACGTTCTGGAGAGGGGACAAAGTGCCCGGGAAGGCTCGGAGGGATGGCGGAAAGGAGAAAGAAGCTCTCTTGGAGAAGTAGGAAGAAGCGGGCGGTAAAGCCTCCAAACCTCGCTTTTTGGGGGGGGATCAGGACAGCGGCGAGAAAAAGGAGAATGCCCGGGCCCCGACTCACCCGCGCCCCAGCTGCTCCATGGTGAGGCGGAGGTCCGAGACAGGCGAGAGCTCATCCTGAAAGAGCGCCTTGACCACGGCAGGCGAGGCGGGGGACGCCGGCGAGAGAAGCGAGAGGCGGCGGCGGTGGGAAGCGCTCGGGGTGGGATCCATCGGAGGGGGACCGGGAATCCAGCGCAGCCGTCCCGTCCCTGCCGACAGCGCGGCCGCCGCAGCGTTTTGACCCCAACCGGTACCCGTCGCCCGCTCCAAAGCTGGCGCCAAACCGCGGCTCAGCCAATCAGCGCGCGGAGCCCCGCGGGGGGCGGGTTGTTTTTTTTCAAACCTCCCCTCCCACCGCGCGCGCCCCGGCCAGTAGGAACGGCGGCGCCGCGGCCACGCCCCGCCCACGGCGGTTGCTTGGCGTCGCTCTGGACCAATAAGAACGCGAGGAAACCAGAATGGGGGGGACGCGCGCCAGTGCGAGGGGAGAACTACATTTCCCAGGATCCCTAGCAGGCGTGCCGCGTTGTCGCTCTCTGCATTGCATGCTGGGGAATGTAGTTCCTGCCTCACAGAGGCGCGGCTTTGCCGCCATGTTTCCGGCCGTCTCCCTTTAGGCTGGGCATGAGGGGAAAATGGGGAACATGAAGGAAAAAAGGCACAAATTCAGCAGATAACACCACCTCGCTGACACAAAGAGCCCTTCTCATACCATTTCTCCTCAAAGAGCCCTTCCCATATAATTTCTCTTCAAATAAGCTCTCCATGAGAACAAAACCCACTTTATAAAAGCCACTTTATGAGGGGTTTGGTGAGTGGCTGGGGAAACAAGGCAGTGCACAACCCTGCGACACCAGAATGGGGTTCACGGAGAGACAAGCAGGAGAAGGGAGACCAACAGTCCCCCACTTGTACTCCACATAAACTCTTTAGGACATGCAGCTTCTCCTCAGCACTGGGTTGGCAGATCATCTGTCCAGCCCCTGGCAAGGTCTCTGCCATGTCTCTCTAGTGGTTCCAGAGGCTGCTGTGTCAAGCTGATTGCTTTGGATCCAGGACGTATCCAGAACACGACCCACAAGCTGTGTTGCTCTGCCTGGGCCCTGCTAGTCACATAATGCCGGTTCCTGGATTAAAATGTGGGGTGTTTGCTCCTTCCCCGAGCACGCCAAATCTCAGAGACCGCCATCACACCCTGGCTCCTGCTGCTCTTCCCTCGTTCCTGCTATCGCTCCCTGAACATTTTCCTTTTTACAAACTTTTTGAGCAGTTACCACCACTAATGGATAAGGCATTGGCTTCCAAAGCCAGGGACTGTGAGTTCTGTCCCATTGGAGTGCCAGAACTGAGGCCTTATGCAGATTGACCAAGAACAAAGGGTAGACAGAGTTAAAGAATTAACTAGGGATTTGTAAAAGGCCTTAATGGCTACATCTTGGGCAGTAGCCTGGCCAGGGCTACACCCAAGATAGACCCAAAGTGGTCACAAAATGGACAAACGCTCACAAAATGGACGAGTGCTCACACTTTTAGAAGTGCGGACTCACGCTTTCATAAGTTGTACTCCATTTGAATATTGGAGTTAACTGTCCAATGACAGCTTTAGGTTATGAAGTCCCATCCTCCTTGTTGCTCTCTCTTCAGTTCACCGTTGCTTATATTTTTTGGGCCTGGACTTTGTATCCTTGGCCTCAAGGTAGAACAGGATTGTTTTGTCTACCTACCCTGTGAAAAGAACTTGCTAACATTTAACATGAAGCTCAGAGCTACACACCAAAGCAGCAGAATCTAAAAAATATGAATGCTAAAATGCAAGGCATCATGATCAGCTCATGGCTCCAGCCTGGCTTCCGGAGTGCAGGGTGGCTGCATCCTCCAGCCCAGCCCAGCCCAGCCCAGCCCAGCCCAGCCCAGCCCAGCCCAGCCCAGCCCAGCTGCCACCAGCCCTGCAGTGATGCCAAAGGCCAGCACGGACAATCAGAGCCTCTTCCCTCCTCCCTCCCCATTCTTCTGTGGCCTCAGTGCCCACAGGGAGAGGTAGGACACCATCCCCATGGCATCTAGGCAGGATAGCAGCACGCAGACAGCCCCAGGCAGGACAGCACTTCTTTAATGCTCCAAAGGACTGAGCGGGAGGAGATGCAGAAAATTGCAGAGAGGGTCCAGCCCAGGCAGAGCTGCAGTGAGGCTGCACTGTGATGCCGTGTCATTCCCACAGCTCCTCCCTGCTCAGCCAGCCAAGGGCACGGGCAGGGGCCCAGCAGCCATCCCACCGCGTCAATCACACACCTGGATGAAAGTATCTTCTGAGTAGATCCAAAAATATGGGAAGACTTTCTCAGTGAAGGTGGCCTCCAACAGCAAGATCTGTGTCAGGTCCTTTGCGTTGTAGAAAGTCACTCGGCCCATTTCATAGTCCAGGCAGACCCTGATTCTCTGGAGGTTTTCCCTGAGTGCCAGCGTGTGTGGGGTTATGCAGACTGTTCTGTACTGGCCATCTGGGTACATTAGCAGCCCCCAGAGCTTCTCAGATCTGGGCAGGTTGAGCGGCTCCTTCCTCGGCACAGATTCCGGGGCCACCCCCAGGGACCACCAGCCCTTCTCCCCAACCACCACCTCCCAGTAATGCCTCCCAGATGTGAACCCCTGGGTGCCCAAGACACTGAGGCTGCTTGTGATCCTCTTGGGGGTGTCAGGGAGGTTTTGTTTTTGACGTTTCAACCGGACCATTTTGCAGTCCCGCGAGAGGATCAGCCGAGGATTCGCCGTCTCTGGGTCCAGCCGCACCCACTCTAAAGGGTGACAGAAACATCAGTCAGTGCCTGCTGAGAAGAGAACCAGCACCTCTCCTCCATCCTGCACCACGGGGCTGGGACCTGTCCTGGGAGCACAAGGGGCACTCCTGCAGCCCCCTCGGGTGGCATGGGACACGGCAGCCTCACTGTCCCCACGCTGGCAGCCGAGGGTGAAAAGATGCTCCCTGAGGCAGGACTGAGGCAGGCAGTGTCCCCACAGGCAGGGCACAGACACGATGGGCTTTGCTAAAGCTGCTCCCAGATGTGCTGCATATTGCAGCCTGTGGGGAGCAGTGCATGCCGTGGCTGTGAGCAGGCAGTGCTGCAGGGCAGGAGGGGCCAGGCCAGTCCCTGCTCCTGTGCCAAGGGCTCACCCAGCTCGGAGCCCTGCTCTGCCCAGCCAGCAGGCAACCGAGCTGCAGAGCCCGAGCTGCCCATCCACCAGGCATGTTCTGCTGCCATCCCGTGGCCATCCCACAGGGCCACACAGCTGTCACTGTGCGGTGCCACCAGCCCAGAGCCTCTGCCAAACCCACTCCTGCGGGGACTGCAGGGGGGAAACTGAGGCACGACTCTCCTGTGCTCAAGTGCATCATCCCAAAAACGGAGAGTGTGGAGAGCGGCCTCAGCACAAATGGTGCCAGCCACACCTCAGCCCAGCAATGCTGCACCATGTGGGCCCTGAGCACCTGCAGAAGCACTTCTGATCACACCAAAATACCACCTAAAATCATGTACAGCCCCTCTGCTTAACTGGGCACAGCCTGACACGGCCTCCTGCTGTCCTGGCCCTGGCCTGGCATCGCAGGACAGCATCCCTGGTGCTGCCTGGCACAAGGACAGACCTGGGTTTTTATTGCAGGCCTAGTCACAACAACAGGACTCAGCTCTAGACAGATGCTGGGTTTAGATGTGCTGTGAGCTCATCTCAGCACCAAGGACATGAGGACACTCATCCTGGAAAGCTTTTCCCCCTCAGTTGTGCTCAGCAGCTCCACACACTTACCCTTATGCCAGAGTCTATCTTGCTCTGCAGGTTCTCTGGAAGAAGGCAAGGAAGATGCATGAGTGTCTCTCCTGTGGCACCTGTCCTGCTCCCCATCAGGGCAGCAACCCAGATGTGGAGCCCCAGGCTCCAGCAAAGCCCATCCTGGGGATGGTTCCCATCTGGAGCAGCCGTTTTGCTCCTGAGCCCCAGGCAGAGGCACCAGGCAGTGAGGATTTCCCCCTGCCAGCCAAGCCCAAGGGAAGCACAGCACAGAGCCAGCAGGGCTTTACCTCTGAATTTATCCACCCTGTCCACGACCTGCTGGCTCCTCCAAGTGAGGCTCTGAATGCTCTTCTGCAGCTCTGGGGAAACTGGCTCTGGGATCGGGGCCTTGGCTGCCTCACAGCTGAGGGGAACAGGGAGAGGAGCTCAGAGCCCAGCCACCAGCCAGGGCCAGCAGGGAAACAGGGAAATCCCTGCGGCCACAGAGCCCAGGGCAGCCGTGTCCCTGCTCTCAGCACAGCAACCCCATCTTTAGGAGGGGTGCAACGGCCTCTGGTTCCTGGAAACATCCCATGAAATCCCAAATCCCCAGCGGGGCAAACCACCTCCGTGCCAGCTCCTGCAGCGCTCCCAAAGCTCTGCCCAAAGGAGCTGAGCAGGAGGAGAGGGACACCGAGCCTGTTTCATACCTGCTCAGGATTCTGCCAACATCCTGCAAGAGAGAAAACACAGGAGAGCTGTGGCCCTGCCGAGGGCCAGGGAGCTGCAGTGGCTGCCCAGCTGTGTGAAGCAGCTGAAGGGGCTGGGGCTGAGCCCACACCTCATCCCAACCCTCCCTTCCATCAGGGCCCTGACCCACAGCAGGCACAGCACAGTGTCACAGCATGGTGTCACAGCACGGTGTCACAGTACGGTGTCACAGCACAGTGTCACAGTGTCACAGCATGGTGTCACAGTGTCACAGCAGGGTGTCACAGTGTCACAGCACAGTGTCACAGCACAGTGTCACAGTGTCACAGCATGGTGTCACAGCACGGTGTCTCAGTGTCAAAGCACGGTGTCCCACCATGGCCCCAGCCTGCACCAGGATGCAGAGGGTGCCAGCTGGGTGTCCCCAGCCCCAGCAGGGGTCACAGTGCCCAGGGGCTGATGCTGCCTCACCTGGAGGAACTCGACCCCCGGCTGGTCCCGCTTCTCCTGGATCTGCGCTATCACCATGTCCAGCAGCGACTGCCTCTCCAAGACCCTGGACGTGTATTCCTCGCTCTTATTCACCAGCTCCTGGGACATCTGCTCCAGCTGGCCCAGCAGGGCCTTCTTCTGCTCCTCCAGGCACTGCTGCAGCTCCTCAAAGCTCTCAGTCACACGCTGCAACTCTGACCTCACTGTCACCTGCAAGGCACCGCACGGAGGCCCTGAGCCCAGCCAGGCTCCGGCTGCCCCTGCAGGGACACGGCTGCTGCACAGAGGGGGCCAGGATCACACACAACGGCACCAGAAGTTTGGAACAGGAACAGCAGGAAGAACAGAGACAGGGGGGGCAAGTCTGGATGTTGATGGGCCCAAGGAGGCCACATGAGATGGACAGAGAAAAGAATGTTGGCATGGATTAGGAGATAAGTATATATGGGGAGAGGGAAAGATGGGACATTCCTGGGGAGCCACATGGGTGAGCACTGGGGGGCATGGAGATGAACACACACCTGCAGGACTAGACTTTTCTGGTCTCCTGTGCTCTTCAATTTTTCCTTCTGCTTTTGTAGAAATAGCAGGTTTCTCTGGAGTGTCTCCTGGGGCAGGGATTAAACAAATGGCATTTCTGTTAATTTTGGAATGACATTCACAGCAGGGAGATGATGTTGCCAAACAACCCCTGTGCGGACAAACCCAGTCTGGGGAGTCACTGGGGGTGACCCCTGAGTGTCTGGGAGTGAGTTTTGCGCTCAGAGACACCACGCAACTCTCCAAACTCAGCCTGGGGAGATCCCCATCCACAGCTCTTATGGCCAGAAACATTGCTGGAATAACTTCATTGGAGTTCCACTCCATGCCAGTGGAGACCCTGCATTTTGTATTTATTTAAATGGTTTTTTTAATTAAAAAAACAACTCTCGACATTGGAAGTGTGATTTCTGGGAAGAGGTTTGCAGTGACGGTAGCAGGGACTCAGACAGGCCCCATCAATTTCCTGGAGTATTAACAAACTCCTCCTGCTCTGAGGCATCTCCTGCATTGCAGTGAGACGAGACCCCAGCCCACGCTGTGGGGAGAAAGCCTGGCTGGGGACATGTGGGGCACAAGGGACCATGTGGGGACCCAGAGGGGTGAGCAGGGAGAGGGACCTGGGCTCCTGCGTGGGCTGGGGCCAGGCGGTGGCAGAAGCAGCAGCCCCAGCAGGGTGGGGTACAGCAGCCCAAGCTGGCAGCCAGACAGGGAGCCCGGGCAGCAGCCGGCTGAGGCCCCAGATCCGTGGCTGGCCGGGGACACGGCCGAAGCTGTGTGTGGAGGGGAAGCAGAGCCGCACCCTGAGGGAAGCCCAGACCCTGCTCAGAGCAGACCCAGAGCCACAGCCAGAGGAGCTCATGCCCAGAGCAGAGCCCAGACTGTCCTTGAAGGGAGCCCAGATGTGTGCCCGGACAGGACGCGGACCTGTGCCCACAGGGGACCCCAGCCTGTCCCCGAGGGAGCCCAGCCCCTGCTGCAGGGGATCCCCGCCTGTGGCCGGAGGGGACCCTGAGCTGTGCCCCTCGGCCGCCCCACTCCGGGCAGCCAAGGCCTCCGAGCCCCTGGCCAAGCCCCCGGCCCCTCTCGCGGCGCCGCCCCGTACCCGCAGCTCCCGGGCGGCCTCTTCGGCGGGGCGGACACGGTGCCGGCGGTGCTCGGGCCCGTCCCGGCAGGGCGCGCAGAGCAGGGCGGCGCAGGGCTCGCAGAACAGCGCCAGGGCCTTGCCGTGCTGGGGGCACCGCGGCCGCGCCGCCACCTCCTCCAGGGCCCGGGCCAGCCCGGCCATGTTGCCCAGGGAGCGGTTGGAGCGCTGCGAGCCCGGCTCCAGCGGGGCGCGGCACTGCGGGCAGGCGGCGGGGCGCGGCGGGTCCCCCAGCACGCCCGCCAGGCACTGCCCGCAGAAGCTGTGCCCGCACGCCGTCAGCACGGGCTGCTCGAACACATCCAGGCACAACGGGCAAGTGGCCTCGGCCACCAGCTGCTCTCGCAGGGCCAGCACCTCCTCAGCCATGGCCGCGACGGACGGGAACGGACGGAAGGGGCCCCACCCTCGACCGCGGCGGGGGAGGGCCTGGGCACGACGGGAGCGGGCTGGGCTGGGCTGGGGGCCGGCAATGGGCTCTGGGATGCGAGTGTGTGTTTGTGAGTGTGTGTGTCAGTGTGTGCGGGCGTGTGCGCATCCCTGTCATTGCACACACATGTAGAATGTCACACCTTGTGCACATCCATGCCACTGCAAGTGTGTCTGTGTCTGCCTCTGTGTCTGTGTCTGTGCCTGGGAGTGTCCCCGTCTCTCCCTGGGCAGATTCCTGTGCCTGGATCTCACATTATTCACACGCGTGTCCATATCCAAGTGCGTGTGTGCAAGCTGGGGAGGAAGGAGCAGGAAAACCCCGGGGGGACACGGGCACGGGGCCGCAGTGTGCGCTGCGTGTGCCCGTGTCTGCAGCCCACGGCAGCGGGGATGCAGCAGCGGCCGCGCAAAGTGAGGGCTGGCGTGAGTGTGAGTGAGAGTGTGAGTGTGAGCATGAGCATGAGTGAGAGTGTGAATGTGAGAGTGTCAGTGCAAGTGTGAGCGTGAGGGTAAGTGTGAGTGTGAGTGTGAGCCTTCATCCCAGCCTTCCCCCGGGGCGCAGCCAGTACGGTTCTGCCAGGGCCCGCGCATGCTGGGGATGCTTAAATCAGTTGAATCGTTAATAACCTGCCAGGGGCTGGGAGCTTCGGCCCGGCCCGGCCCCTATGGCGGGTCGGAGCTGGGAGCGGGAGCCCCTTCCCCAGGCCGGGCCCCGCGATCCTTGCCGAGGCCCGGCTGTGGCCGGAGCCGCTCCCGGCCAGCGGGGCGGGCTTAGTGCGCTTTGAAGGGATTGGGTCGGGGCGGCAGCGGCGCCCTGAGGGAGCCCAGGGTGATCCTGCGCTGCCTCCCTGCGCTGCCGGCCCCGGCCTGCTCGCCCGAAATCCCCCCAAGGCCCGGCTGCTCCGGCCACCAGGGCTCCCGCCTCCATCCAATAAAAAGCTGAATTCATCCATTTTTAGGAAGAAAAAAGGATTTGGCCAGGTCAGTGACACTGCCGGTGTGACGGACACGAGCCACAGAGAACCAGAATCACTTCTGCTTTTCATTTCCTCCTTCCCCATAGCTGCATCCAGACCTGGTGAGGGGGATGCAGGGAGGCTGCTGAGGGACACAGGGCTGCAGCCAGGCCCTCCTGTCCTGCCCCCACACCTCCCTGCCAGGACATCAGCCCCACCACAGCACTTTTCATGGAATCCCAGAATGCTTTGGGTGGGAAGGGACCTCCAAGCTCATCTTCTTCCGCCTCCCTGGAAGGGGGCAGGAACACCTTCCACTATCCCAGGGTGCTCAAAGCCTCATCCAGCCTGGCTGACTTCGAGAGATGGAAGTGTCAACTCCTGTCAGACAGCACGCCCTGACCTGAAACCCCAAAGTTCTTCCAGGGAGTTACAGGCACCACCCCAGCAGTGGGAAGGCAGGAACCCTGGCAGGGCCCTCACAGGCAGCCCCAAAATGCTGCCACCCACAGCAATGAGCAGCTGGTGGCTCTCAAAGAGTAAAGCAGGGATTTATTACAAGGTCTCCATGGATTCATCTTAGGCAGCGGAAAAGCCCAGCCAGGGCTACACCCAAGATGGGCCCAAAGCGGTCACAAAATGGACGAGCGCTCACACTTTTAGAAGTGTGGTGGTCTCGTGCTTTTATAAGTTGTGCTCCATTTGAATAGTGGAGTTAATTGCCCAATTACAGCTTTAGGTTATGAAGTCCCATCCTCCTTGTTGCTCTCTCTTCAGTTCACCATTGTTTACAGTTTTTGGGCCTGGATTTTGTATCCTTGGCCTCAAGCTAGAACAGGATTGTTTTGTCTACCTACCCCGTGAAAAGACCTTGCTAACAATGAAGCTCAGAGCTACACACCAAAGCAGCACAGAATCCAAAAAATATGGATGCTAAAATGCAAGGCATCATGATCAGCTCATGGCTCCAGCCTGGCTTCCGGAGTGCGGGGTGGCTGCATCCTCCAGCCCAGCCCAGCCCAGCCCAGCCCAGCCCAGCCCAGCCCAGCCCAGCCCAGCTGCCACCAGCCCTGCAGTGATGCCAAAGGCCGGCACGGACAATCAGAGCCTCTTCCCTCCTCCCTCCCCATTCTTCTGTGGCCTCAGTGCCCACAGGGAGAGGTAGGACACCATCCCCATGGCATCTAGGCAGGATAGCAGCACGCAGACAGCCCCAGGCAGGACAGCACTGCTTTAATGCTCCAAAGGACTGAGCGGGAGGAGATGCAGAAAATTGCAGAGAGGGTCCAGCCCAGGCAGAGCTGCAGTGAGGCTGCACTGTGATGCCGTGTCATTCCCACAGCTCCTCCCTGCTCAGCCAGCCAAGGGCACGGGCAGGGGCCCAGCAGCCATCCCACCCTGTCAGTCACACACCTGGATGTAGGTATCTTCTGAGCAGATCCAAAAATATGGGAAGACTTTCTCAGTGAAGGTGGCCTCCAACTGCAAGATCTGCGTCAGGTCCTTTGCGTTGTAGAAAGTCACTCGGCCCATTTCATAGTCCAGGCAGACCCTGATTCTCTGGAGGTTTTCCTTCAGTGCCAGCACCTCAGAGGTCATGCAGATTGAACTGTACTGGCCATCTGGGTACATTAGCAGCCCCCAGACATTCTCAGATCTGGGCAGGTTGAGCAGCTCCTTCCTCTGCACGGACTCCAGGGCCACCCCCAGGGACCACCAGCCGTCTTCCCCAACCTCCACCTCCCAGTAATGCCTCCCAGATGTGAACCCCTGGGTGCCCAAGACACTGAAGCTGCCCGTGAACCTCTTGGGGGTGTCAGGGAGGTTTTGTTCTTGAGGTTTGAACCAGACCCTTTTGCAGTCCTGCGAGAGGATCAGGTCGGCATACGCCGTCTCTGGGTCCAGCCGCACCCGCTCTAAAGGGTGACAGAAACATCAGTCAGTGCCTGCTGAGAAGAGAACCAGCACCTCTCCTCCACCCTGCACCACGGGGCTGGGACCTGTCCTGGGAGCACAAGGGGCACTCCTGCAGCCCCCTCGGGTGGCATGGGACACGGCAGCCTCACTGTCCCCACGCTGGCAGCCGAGGGTGAAAAGATGCTCCCTGAGGCAGGACTGAGGCAGGCAGTGTCCCCACAGGCAGGGCACAGACACGATGGGCTTTGCTAAAGCTGCTCCCAGATGTGCTGCATATTGCAGCCTGTGGGGAGCAGTGCATGCCGTGGCTGTGAGCAGGCAGTGCTGCAGGGCAGGAGGGGCCAGGCCAGTCCCTGCTCCTGTGCCAAGGGCTCACCCAGCTCGGAGCCCTGCTCTGCCCAGCCAGCAGGCAACCGAGCTGCAGAGCCCGAGCTGCCCATCCACCAGGCATGTTCTGCTGCCATCCCGTGGCCATCCCACAGGGCCACACAGCTGTCACTGTGCGGTGCCACCAGCCCAGAGCCTCTGCCAAACCCACTCCTGCGGGGACTGCAGGGGGGAAACTGAGGCACGACTCTCCTGTGCTCAAGTGCATCATCCCAAAAACGGAGAGTGTGGAGAGTGGCCTCAGCACAAATGGTGCCAGCCACACCTCAGCCAAGCAATGCTGCACCATGTGGGCCCTGAGCACCTGCAGAAGCACTTCTGATCACACCAAAATGCCACCTAAAATCGAGTACAGCCCCTCTGCTTAACTTGGCACAGCCTGACACGGCCTCCTGCTGTCCTGGCCCTGGCCTGGCATCGCAGGACAGCATCCCTGGTGCTGCCTGGCACAAGGACAGACCTGGGTTTTTATTGCAGGCCTAGTCACAACAACAGGACTCAGCTCTAGACAGATGCTGGGTTTAGATGTGCTGTGAGCCCATCTCAGCACCAAGGACATGAGGACACTCATCCTAGAAAGCTTTTCCCCCTCAGTTGTGCTCAGCAGCTCCACACACTTACCCCTTATGCCCCAGTCTATCTCGCTCTGCAGGCTCACTGGAAGAAGGCAAGGAAGATGCATGAGTGTCTCTCCTGTGGCACCTGTCCTGCTCCCCATCAGGGCAGCAACCCAGATGTGGAGCCCCAGGCTCCAGCAAAGCCCATCCTGGGGATGGTTCCCATCTGGAGCAGCCGTTTTGCTCCTGAGCCCCAGGCAGAGGCACCAGGCAGTGAGGATTTCCCCCTGCCAGCCAAGCCCAAGGGAAGCACAGCACAGAGCCAGCAGGGCTTTACCTCTGAATTTATCCACCATGTCCACGACCTGCTGGCTCCTCCAAGTGAGGCTCTGAATGCTCTTCTGCAGCTCTGGGGAAACTGGCTCTGGGATCGGGGCCTTGGCTGCCTCACAGCTGAGGGGAACAGGGAGAGGAGCTCAGAGCCCAGCCACCAGCCAGGGCCAGCAGGGAAACAGGGAAATCCCTGCGGCCACAGAGCCCAGGGCAGCCGTGTCCCTGCTCTCAGCACAGCAACCCCATCTTTAGGAGGGGTGCAACGGCCTCTGGTTCCTGGAAACATCCCATGAAATCCCAAATCCCCAGCGGGGCAAACCACCTCCTTGCTGGCTCCTGCAGCGCTCCCAAAGCTCTGCCCAAAGGAGCTGAGCAGGAGGAGAGGGACACCGAGCCTGTTTCATACCTGCTCAGGATTCTGCCAACATCCTGCAAGAGAGAAAACACAGGAGAGCTGTGGCCCTGCCGAGGGTCAGGGAGCTGCAGTGGCTGCCCAGCTGTGTGAAGCAGCTGAAGGGGCTGGGGTTGAGCCCACACCTCATCCCAACCCTCCCTTCCCTCAGGGACCTGACCCACAGCAGGCACAGCACAGTGTCACAGCACAGTGTCACAGCACAGTGTCACAGCACGGTGTCACAGCACAGTGTGACAGCATGGTGTCACAGTGTCACAGTGTCACAGCACAGTGTCACAGCACAGTGTCACAGCATGGTGTCACAGTGTCACAGCACAGTGTCACAGTGTCACAGCACGGTGTCACAGCACGGTGTCACAGTGTCACAGCACGGTGTCACAGCACGGTGTCACAGCACAGTGTCACAGTGTCACAGTACAGTGTCACAGCATGGTGTCACAGTGTCACAGTACAGTGTCACAGCACGGTGTCACAGCATGGTGTCACAGCACGGTGTCACAGTGTCACAGCACAGTGTCACGGCACGGTGTCACAGTACAGTGTCACAGTGTCACAGCACAGTGTCCCACCATGGCCCCAGCCTGCACCAGGATGCAGAGGGTGCCAGCTGGGTGTCCCCAGCCCCAGCAGGGGTCACAGTGCCCAGGGGCTGATGCTGCCTCACCTGGAGGAACTCGACCCCCGGCTGGTCCCGCTTCTCCTGGATCTGCGCTATCACCGTGTCCAGCAGCGACTGCCTCTCCAAGACCCTGGACGTGTATTCCTCGCTCTTATTCACCAGCTCCTGGGACATCTGCTCCAGCTGGCCCAGCAGGGCCTTCTTCTGCTCCTCCAGGCACTGCTGCAGCTCCTCAAAGCTCTCAGTCACACGCTGCAACTCCGACCTCACTGTCACCTGCAAGGCACCGCACGGAGGCCCTGAGCCCAGCCAGGCTCCGGCTGCCCCTGCAGGGACACGGCTGCTGCACAGAGGGGGCCAGGATCACACACAACGGCACCAGAGGTTTGGAACAGAAACAGCAGGAAGAACAGAGACAGGGGGGGCAAGTCTGGATGTTGATGGGCCCAAGGAGGCCACATGAGATGGACAGAGAAATGAATGTTGGCATGGATTAGGAGATAAGTATATATGGGGAGAGGGAAAGATGGGACATTCCTGGGGAGCCACATGGGTGACCACTGGGGGGCATGGAGAGGAACACACACCTGCAGGACTAGACTTTTCTGGTCTCCTGTGCTCTTCAATTTTTCCTTCTGCTTTTGTAGAAATAGCAGGTTTCTCTGGAGTGTCTCCTGGGGCAGGGATTAAACAAATGGCATTTCTGTTAATTTTGGAATGACATTCACAGCAGGGAGATGATGTTGCCAAACAACCCCTGTGCGGACAAACCCAGTCTGGGGAGTCACTGGGGGTGACCCCTGTGTGTCTGGGAGTGAGTTTTGCGCTCAGAGACACCACGCAACTCTCCAAACTCAGCCTGGGGAGATCCCCATCCACAGCTCTTATGGCCAGAAACATTGCTGGAATAACTTCATTGGAGTTCCACTCCATGCCAGTGGAGACCCTGCATTTTGTATTTATTTAAATGGTTTTTTTAATTAAAAAAACAACTCTCGACATTGGAAGTGTGATTTCTGGGAAGAGGTTTGCAGTGACAGTAGCAGGGACTCAGACAGGCCCCATCAATTTCCTGGAGTATTAACAAACTCCTCCTGCTCTGAGGCATCTCCTGCATTGCAGTGAGCCGAGACCCCAGCCCACGCTGTGGGGAGAAAGCCTGGCTGGGGACATGTGGGGCACAAGGGACCATGTGGGGACCCAGAGGGGTGAGCAGGGAGAGGGACCTGGGCTCCTGCGTGGGCTGGGGCCAGGCGGTGGCAGAAGCAGCAGCCCCAGCAGGGTGGGGTACAGCAGCCCAAGCTGGCAGCCAGACAGGGAGCCCGGGCAGCAGCCGGCTGAGGCCCCAGATCCGTGGCTGGCCGGGGACACGGCCGAAGCTGTGTGTGGAGGGGAAGCAGAGCCGCGCCCTGAGGGAAGCCCAGACCCTGCTCAGAGCAGACCCAGAGCCACAGCCAGAGGAGCTCATGCCCAGAGCAGAGCCCAGACTGCCCTTGAAGGGAGCCCAGATGTGTGCCCGGACAGGACGCGGACCTGTGCCCACAGGGGACCCCAGCCTGTCCCCGAGGGAGCCCAGCCCCTGCTGCAGGGGATCCCCGCCTGTGGCCGGAGGGGACCCTGAGCTGTGCCCCTCGGCCGCCCCACTCCGGGCAGCCAAGGCCCCCGAGCCCCTGGCCAAGCCCCCGGCCCCTCTCGCGGCGCCGCCCCGTACCCGCAGCTCCCGGGCGGCCTCTTCGGCGGGGCGGACACGGTGCCGGCGGTGCTCGGGCCCGTCCCGGCAGGGCGCGCAGAGCAGGGCGGCGCAGGGCTCGCAGAACAGCGCCAGGGCCTTGCCGTGCTGGGGGCACCGCGGCCGCGCCGCCACCTCCTCCAGGGCCCGGGCCAGCCCGGCCATGTTGCCCAGGGAGCGGATGGGGCGCTGCGAGCCCGGCTCCAGCGGGGCGCGGCACTGCGGGCAGGCGGCGGGGCGCGGCGGGTCCCCCAGCACGCCCGCCAGGCACGTCCCGCAGAAGCTGTGCCCGCACGCCGTCAGCACGGGCTGCTCGAACACATCCAGGCACAACGGGCAAGTGGCCTCGGCCACCAGCTGCTCTCGCAGGGCCAGCACCTCCTCAGCCATGGCCGCGACGGACGGGAACGGACGGAAGGGGCCCCACCCTCGACCGCGGCGGGGGAGGGCCTGGGCACGACGGGAACGGGCTGGGCTGGGCTGGGGGCCGGCAATGGGCTCTGGGATGCGAGTGTGTGTTTGTGAGTGTGTGTGTCAGTGTGTCCGGGCGTGTGCGCATCCCTGTCATTGCACACACATGTGGAATGTCACACCTTGTGCACATCCATGCCACTGCAAGTGTGTCTGTGTCTGCCTCTGTGTCTGTGTCTGTGCCTGGGAGTGTCCCCGTCTCTCCCTGGGCAGATTCCTGTGCCTGGATCTCACATTATTCACACGCGTGTCCATGTCCAAGTGCGTGTGTGCAAGCTGGGGAGGAAGGAGCAGGAAAACCCCGGGGGACACGGGCACGGGGCCGCAGTGTGCGCTGCGTGTGCCCGTGTCTGCAGCCCACGGCAGCGGGGATGCAGCAGCGGCCGCGCAAAGTGAGGGCTGGCGTGAGTGTGAGTGAGAGTGTGAGTGTGAGCATGAGCATGAGTGAGAGTGTGAATGTGAGAGTAAGTGTCAGTGCAAGTGTGAGCGTGAGGGTAAGTGTGAGTGTGAGTGTGAGCCTTCATCCCAGCCTTGCTCCGCGGCGCAGCCAGTACGGTTCTGCCAGGGCCCGCGCATGCTGGGGATGCTTAAATCAGTTGAATCGTTAATAACCTGCCAGGGGCTGGGAGCTTCGGCCCGGCCCGGCCCCTATGGCGGGTCGGAGCTGGGAGCGGGAGCCCCTTCCCCAGGCCGGGCCCCGCGATCCTTGCCGAGACCCGGCTGTGGCCGGAGCCGCTCCCGGCCAGCGGGGCGGGCTTAGTGCGCTTTGAAGGGATTGGGTCGGGGCGGCAGCGGCGCCCTGAGGGAGCCCAGGGTGATCCTGCGCTGCCTCCCTGCGCTGCCGGCCCCGGCCTGCTCGCCCGAAATCCCCCCAAGGCCCGGCTGCTCCGGCCACGAGGGCTCCCGCCTCCATCCAATAAAAAGCTGAATTCATCCATTTTTAGGAAGAAAAAAGGATTCGGCCAGGTCAGTGACACTGCCGGTGTGACGGACATGAGCCACAGAGAACCAGAATCACTTCTGCTTTTCATTTCCTCCTTCCCCATAGCTGCATCCAGACCTGGTGAGGGGGATGCAGGGAGGCTGCTGAGGGACACAGGGCTGCAGCCAGGCCCTCCTGTCCTGCCCCCACACCTCCCTGCCAGGACATCAGCCCCACCACAGCACTTTTCATGGAATCCCAGAATGCTTTGGGTGGGAAGGGACCTCCAAGCTCATCTTCTTCCGCCTCCCTGGAAGGGGGCAGGAACACCTTCCACTATCCCAGGGTGCTCAAAGCCTCATCCAGCCTGGCCAACTTCCAGAGATGGAAGTGTCAACTCCTGTCATTCAGCACGCCCTGACCTGAAACCCCAAAGTTCTTCCAGGGAGTTGCAGGCACCACGCCAGCAGTGGGAAGGCAGGAACCCTGGCAGGGGCCTGCACAGGCAGCCCCAAAATGCTGCCACCCACAGCAATGAGCAGCTGGTGGCTCTCAAAGAGTAAAGCAGGGATTTATTACAAGGTCTCCATGGATTCATCTTAGGCAGTGGAAAAGCCCCGCCAGGGCTACACCCAAGATGGGCCCAAAGTGGTCACAAAATGGACGAGCGCTCACACTTTTAGAAGTGTGGTGGTCTCGTGCTTTTATAAGTTGTGCTCCATTTGAATAGTGGAGTTAATTGCCCAATTACAGCTTTAGGTTATGAAGTCCCATCCTCCTTGTTGCTCTCTCTTCAGTTCATCATTGTTTATATTTTTTGGGCCTGGACTTTGTATCCTTGGCCTCAAGGTAGAACAGGATTGTTTTGTCTACCTACCCCGTGAAAAGACCTTGCTAACAATGAAGCTCAGAGCTACACACCAAAGCAGCACAGAATCCAAAAAATATGGATGCTAAAATGCAAGGCATCATGATCAGCTCATGGCTCCAGCCTGGCTTCCTGAGTGCGGGGTGGCTGCATCCTCCAGCCCAGCCCAGCCCAGCCCAGCCCAGCCCAGCCCAGCCCAGCCCAGCCCAGCCCAGCTGCCACCAGCCCTGCAGTGCTGCCAAAGGCTGGCACAGACAATCAGAGCCTCTTCCCTCCTCCCTCCCCATTCTTCTGTGGCCTCAGTGGCCACAGGGAGAGGTAGGACACCATCCCCATGGCATCTAGGCAGGATAGCAGCACGCAGACAGCCCCAGGCAGGACAGCACTGCTTTAATGCTCCAAAGGACTGAGCGGGAGGAGATGCAGAAAATTGCAGAGAGGGTCCAGCCCAGGCAGAGCTGCAGTGAGGCTGCACTGTGATGCCGTCATTCCCACAGCTCCTCCCTGCTCAGCCAGCCAAGGGCACGGGCAGGGGCCCAGCAGCCATCCCACCCTGTCAGTCACACACCTGGATGTGGGTTTCTTGTGAGCAGATCCAAAAATATGGGAAGACTTTCTCAGTGAAGGTGGCCTCCAACAGCAAGATCTGCGTCAGGTCCTTTGCGTTGTAGAAAGTCACTCGGCCCATTTCATAGTCCAGGCAGACCCTGATTCTCTGGAGGTTTTCCTTCAGTGCCAGCACCTCAGAGGTCATGCAGATTGAACTGTACTGTCCATCCCAGTCCATTAGCAGCCCCCAGAGCTTCTCAGATCTGGGCAGGTTGAGCAGCTTCTTCCTTGGCACGGACTCCAGGGCCACCCCCAGGGACCACCAGCCCTCTTCCCGAACCTCCACCTCCCAGTAATGCCTCCCAGATGTGAACCCCTGGGTGCCCAAGACACAGAGGCTGCCCGTGAACCTCTTGGGGGTGTCAGGGAGGTTTTGTTTTCCAGGTCCCACCCAGACCCTTTTGCAGTCCCGCGAGAGGATCAGCCGAGGATTCGCCGTCTCTGGGTCCAGCCGCACCCGCTCTAAAGGGTGACAGAAACATCAGTCAGTGCCTGCTGAGAAGAGAACCAGCACCTCTCCTCCACCCTGCACCACGGGGCTGGGACCTGTCCTGGGAGCACAAGGGGCACTCCTGCAGCCCCCTCGGGTGGCATGGGACACGGCAGCCTCACTGTCCCCACGCTGGCAGCCGAGGGTGAAAAGATGCTCCCTGAGGCAGGACTGAGGCAGGCAGTGTCCCCACAGGCAGGGCACAGACACGATGGGCTTTGCTAAAGCTGCTCCCAGATGTGCTGCATATTGCAGCCTGTGGGGAGCAGTGCATGCCGTGGCTGTGAGCAGGCAGTGCTGCAGGGCAGGAGGGGCCAGGCCAGTCCCTGCTCCTGTGCCAAGGGCTCACCCAGCTCGGAGCCCTGCTCTGCCCAGCCAGCAGGCAACCGAGCTGCAGAGCCCGAGCTGCCCATCCACCAGGCATGTTCTGCTGCCATCCCGTGGCCATCCCACAGGGCCACACAGCTGTCACTGTGCGGTGCCACCAGCCCAGAGCCTCTGCCAAACCCACTCCTGCGGGGACTGCAGGGGGGAAACTGAGGCACGACTCTCCTGTGCTCAAGTGCATCATCCCAAAAACGGAGAGTGTGGAGAGCGGCCTCAGCACAAATGGTGCCAGCCACACCTCAGCCCAGCAATGCTGCACCATGTGGGCCCTGAGCACCTGCAGAAGCACTTCTGATCACACCAAAATGCCACCTAAAATCATGTACAGCCCCTCTGCTTAACTGGGCACAGCCTGACACGGCCTCCTGCTGTCCTGGCCCTGGCCTGGCATCGCAGGACAGCATCCCTGGTGCTGCCTGGCACAAGGACAGACCTGGGTTTTTATTGCAGGCCTAGTCACAACAACAGGACTCAGCTCTAGACAGATGCTGGGTTTAGATGTGCTGTGAGCCCATCTCAGCACCAAGCACATAAGGACACTCCTCCTGGAAAGCTTTTCCGCCTCAGTTGTGCTCAGCAGCTCCACACACTTACCCCTTATGCCAGAGTCTATCTCGCTCTCCAGGTTCTCTGGAAGAAGGCAAGGAAGATGCATGAGTGTCTCTCCTGTGGCACCTGTCCTGCTCCCCATCAGGGCAGCAATCCAGATGTGGAGCCCCAGGCTCCAGCAAAGCCCATCCTGGGGATGGTTCCCATCTGGAGCAGCCGTTTTGCTCCTGAGCCCCAGGCAGAGGCACCAGGCAGTGAGGATTTCCCCCTGCTAGCCAAGCCCAAGGGAAGCACAGCACAGAGCCAGCAGGGCTTTACCTCTGAATTTATCCACCATGTCCACGACCTGCTGGCTCCTCCAAGTGAGGCTCTGAATGCTCTTCTGCAGCTCTGGGGAAACTGGCTCTGGGATCGGGGCCTTGGCTGCCTCACAGCTGAGGGGAACAGGGAGAGGAGCTCAGAGCCCAGCCACCAGCCAGGGCCAGCAGGGAAACAGGGAAATCCCTGCAGCCACAGAGCCCAGAGCAGCCGTGTCCCTGCTCTCAGCACAGCAACCCCATCTTTAGGAGGGGTGCAACGGCCTCTGGTTCCTGGAAACATCCCATGAAATCCCAAATCCCCAGCGGGGCAAACCACCTCCTTGCCGGCTCCTGCAGCGCTCCCAAAGCTCTGCCCAAAGGAGCTGAGCAGGAGGAGAGGGACACTGAGCCTGTTTCATACCTGCTCAGGATTCTGCCAACATCCTGCAAGAGAGAAAACACAGGAGAGCTGTGGCCCTGCCGAGGGCCAGGGAGCTGCAGTGGCTGCCCAGCTGTGTGAAGCAGCTGAAGGGGCTGGGGCTGAGCCCACACCTCATCCCAACCCTCCCTTCCCTCAGGGCCCTGACCCACAGCAGGCACAGCACAGTGTCACAGCACAGTGTCACATCACAGTGTCACAGCACAGTGTCACAGCATGGTGTCACAGCATGGTGTCACAGCACAGTGTCACAGCACGGTGTCACAGTGTCACAGCACAGTGTCACAGCACGGTGTCACAGCACGGTGTCACAGTGTCACAGCACAGTGTCACCGTATCACAGTGTCACAGCACGG